AGGCTGGAGGAGAGGCCCCACAGGGCCCTTGCCAACCAGACCCCTTCAGCTAAGGGGACGCAGCAGGTGATGGGACGCTGGCAGAACACTGAGCTGGGCCCATGGAGGCCCATGGAGAGAGCCCTAGGCAAGAGGAAGTTGCCTTTTCTCTCCTGTCTCTGGGGACAGAGAAGCAGAGAGGCCCTTCCTGGAACCTGGGTCTGCATAGCCAAGTTCCAAGTTCCTCTTTCTCAGGAAGGAACAGGCTCGATACCTGGAATCCTGCCGCCCAAAGCCTGTGCCAGAGGGGAGGGGAGGGCAGGAGTCAAAGCATTGTTGTCAGGCCCACCCTCTCCCCAGACAGCTCCTTTTCCGGACTCACAGAAACAGAGTGCAGAGGGAAGGGGGGTGACCGCAGGGAAATGGGGACCAGAGTGGCAGAGCTGAACCCAGCAGCCCTGCCTCTGCCTGTGCCTGGAGGGGTGACTCCCTGCCTTCTCACCCCTCACCCCACCCTTTACCCTGAGAGTTCACAGGGATCAGAGTGAGTGGACCCCACTCTAGAAAATGCCAGACACCTGTCCTTGTAAAAGGAGGCAGCTCCAACAGCTGTCACTTGGTCCCCAGATCTCAAGTAATACCTGGAGATGAGGTGCCCCCACCGCCCCTCCCCCAGGAAGAATGCTGGACAGACATCAAAGTGTGACCTCTGGAGACAAAGCAAATGGGCACCACAGCTTCTGGCCTGTCCTCTGCATCTGGAATCAGCGTCACCCTCATCACTGATATGTGAGAAGCGGCAGGGAGACGCCAGCCCTGCCTGGAAACCAGGCGATCAATCTTGTTTACGCGTGGACAGCAAACACACACAGGGCACGTTTCTGACCTGAAGCCCAGCACGGACGGTCACCATCCCCACTGCCTGTGCAGGCTGGGCCGCAGGCACGTGAGCACTTCAAGGAAATTCTCAACAGACTTAGTCCACGTGACGATTTCCCAAGACCGAGCCAGTCTGAGCCCAGCGCTGGACACTTGCTGGCGGCTCTTCCTGCTGCGCCCGAGGCCGGCCATTAGCTGTGGGGAGCGCAGTCCCAGGGCCTGGCAGCCAGGGCCCCTTGGGGACAGAGGAGCCAGGCAGCAGCCTGCAGGTGGAGCTCTTCCTGCTGAAAGCTCTTTTCATGGGAATTACGCCTGGATCTC